CAATAACAACTATTATACAACCCACTACCAGGATGGGTTGCCGTGTTTAGACCGGGGTCCGCCACTTTGGCCCAATCATTAACGATAGGTATTGCTAATAATATACAGAAACAAATGTACATATTGTTATTTCATGAGATATATGATTTTTTTTTATTTGTTTTTGTAAATCCTGTCCAGTACTTACAATATAGTCTTTATTTATATCTTATAAAAAAGGAGGCTGTAAATCTATAATATTAATATAATTGCCATTATTTTATTTACGGACTGTCAAATTTATTTTACCTTGTCCGTTACTGCCATCTTGACCGCTGCCGCCACCCTTACCACCTGAGGCTCCGCCACTGCCACCTTTACCTCCGTGGCCACCTAGATAATTTCGAAAATGTTACCTTGAATATGAGTATAAATATTACACTACAATTGATACATTAATCATCGCAAAAAATTAAAGAATATAAATTTATTTTGGGGAACAGCAATACACTGGGTCAATTTGCAGCAACCCAAACGTCTTACTAATAGGTAGATACTTCTAACACTAGGACGTGTTTCGGTCTTCTTTTGATGTATCTCTTGAGTATTTTTGATTAGACATAAGCATACTCAAGAAATATAATATTTCAAGCACTATCAGCCATAACAAATCTAGCTTTCACAGATCATTAATTAAAACAATTAGGCGAGAGAATAAATTCAAATTCTCTCCAAGGGTTGTGAAATGTGGAGAATGCTTCGACTTGCAGGTTTAATCACAATACTTTCCTTCATATTAGCAAGAAGTATTGTCACTATACATTCACAAATATATAAATTGTAGTTTTCATGTACAATAAATAATTTAAATTAGTGTTTAGTAAATATTTTCTAATACCTATAATATAGCCTTTATATCTTTATAAAACAAGATTTCTCTTAACGTAAAACCATTACCACCCCAGCCTACGCCGCTGCCGCCTTTACCACCTAGATAATTCAAAACACGAGTCACCACAAACACGAGTGTGTAACACTACAATTGATTAGTTATACCTATTGTATTACATTTTGTATTATAATATATGGTGTATTACACTAGAATATAATAGTTACAAAAAATATTAGAGTATTAATTTATTTTGAGGAACAGCAATAAACTATAAACTGCTACCATATGCAGCAACCCAAAACGAAATTAAATTAAATACGCTGACGCAATGTGAATTAAATACTTCATAGATTATCCAAGCATTGTAAACCGTCGTCTTGGAGATTACATCACGACATTGCAAGCAAGCCCGAACAGATACCATCTAAGTCAGGACTTAACTCCAGAACAACCCGTTTGAACGGACTTCATCCGGCTCTCTATAAGGCCTTAAGTGAGCCACTCCGGGCCTATTTTACAGATAGGTACCGAAGTTGTAAGCAAGCTCACTTCCCGTCGCGCTCTGCGCAACTAACGGTTACCACCGCTGAGCCAACCACTCTAAGTCGACTAACAAATCACATTTCTGGACAATTAAATTTTCATTATGGAAGTGCTCTCTTCAAGGTCCGCTCACAAATAGAAAACATATTCGAAAGTAACGGCCGATTATTCGCTAGTCTGCGTACTCAGCAGCAACCGCTCAGATGGCCCATTACGCGCGCTAGCAGCCCAACCCGATTTAAAAATAGGTGTATAGAAAGTCTGCAAATAATCATCACTAATACAAATTTCGTAGCACGGTACGATTTCTTTTATATTGTGCAGTGAGTGATAATCAGTGAGTAGCCACGATAATTTTAAAATTTAGAAAGACTATTTTACGGAGATCCTTAGATGCCCAGTTACAACTATTCTACATTCCACTACAAGGATGGTCAACTCTCAGCAGGGTTCAGGTGGTACTTTGTCACGCTGGCTTAATACAAAGTACCCAACTTTTCAGGTTATACAAGGATTGTGGACCTTCGACTTGCAGGTTTTCACCGTTCACTTATTTCACTACGTGTATCAGGCGATAACTTTTGTAAGCTTAAATATGAAAGTTATACTACACACATCAAAAGTGTCTAGGGATCAAGTGAATATTTTTGAAATAAAAATTATTTAAGCAATATTTACCAAATCCAGTCTTCCAGGACGACTTCTTACTTTAATGCTTATGTTTTATTTAACCGCTTACCCCTATATTTAATTAAAATAAACTAAATTGATGTTTTTGCAAATTGTGGGAAAAAACTCAAATTAACGGCGTCAATTAAATGACAAAAAAATGGCGAAAATGATGATTTTGCTCATTTTTATTGTAAAGATAAGAAAATTAATAATCTGTATTTCCACCATTAACACGAATCACACAATTACAGCGATTTGGCATGCTTAAGATGAGTTCATCAAAATCACCTTGAGGAATGGCCGCCCATGTGTTTTGTAACAAGTCAAAATATTGTTGTAGAGTATGTACGGTATGCATACTCGGCACAGCTCTTCTTTGAAGCATATCCCATGCGTGCTCAATTGGATTGAGGTCTGGCGATTGAGCAGGCCACGGCAGAACGTTGATACGAGCTTCGGCAAGAATGCGTGTTACGACTCTAGCCGTGTGTGGACGTGCGTTGTCATGCATTAGTAGAAATGAATCACCCAACTGGCCTCGCAAAGGGATGATAACATCTGAAACAATCCTCTCTGCGTAAACTTGAGCATTGAGGTTACCCCTGATCCAAATGAGATCGGTTCTTCCGCCGATCCAAATACCGGCCCATATCATTATTGTTCCCCCACCATATGGATGAACTTCCTGACAATATCTCAAACGTTCATGACGTCCAGATGTTCTCCAAACTCGAGTACGTCTTGTATCCGATCTCATACCGAAGCGGGATTCATCCGAAAAGCACACATAGCGCCAGTCTTCTTCCTCCCAGTTTCTGTGTTCGCGAGCCCATCGTAAACGGGTCCTGCGATTGCAGGGTGCAATAGGTGGAACTCTGAGCGGCCTTCGGGATCGCAGACCCACTTCACGTAAACGATTTCGGATTGTTTGATCGCTTATTAGCAAGCCTGAGGAGCTGTGGAGCCTCGTAACCAACATCATGGCGGTCATGGTACGATTCCGTCGAGCAGTATTTTGGATATACCGGTCCTGTCTGCGAGTCGTGATGCGAGATCGTCCTCCATGTCGCTCGGCCACGCTGCCCGTCATGCGATAGCGCGTCCAGAGGCGACTTATGACGCTCTGTGTAGTGTTAAGAGTGAAAGCCACAGCACGTTGCCTGGAACCAGCTTCCAACATTCCGACGGCTCGCATCATCACTTCTCGGGTTAAATGATGTCGTCTCTCCATAATAATGTAAATTGTTTCGGTTCCGATGCAGATATTGTAATGATTTTGTCAAAATGCTATAACTCATTTTTATACAAAACCACATTGACAATCGATTTTCTTCTTATTATCGAATTTTAAACAATATTCCTTATTTAAATGTTAAAACTCACTAAAAAGTATCAATAGCGATACAAAAAAGTTAATATAATTAACCCTAATTGCAGCAATACTCTTAAACGTACTTGATCCCTAGACACTTTTGATGTGTGTACTAGACACATAGAAGGGGGGTTTCTACACTAGCGTCTTTCGAGCATCAGCGTCTGGCCAACGCATGCACAGAGCGTCAGACGTTCGGCCCATGTTCGTCCCGTCACTTGATATTATTAAAAAAAAACTATTCAGCAGTCGCTCAATGCTGCTGGCGTTGCGTCCACTAATTAGTTAGGGATACTATCGAGTTCTTAGGTTTTCGCGATTGTTACACATAGGAAATGAAACTATTTTTCCGGATTTAAATCGCGTATATTTGTTTTTCTTTTCTCTTTTTTGTTTCTTAGAAGAAACAAATATACGCGATTTAAATCCGGAAAAATAGTTTCATTTCCTAACGAACGTCGCGTCGACGCTGTGCTTGCGTTGGTAAGCGGCTGACGCTCGAAAAACGCTAATGTGGGGGATCTCAAACATAACTTTTCCAATAAGTTCATAATAATTTTACGATTGTCATGCTATATAAAAGCACTTCTAACTTAGAAGTGCTTTTACCAAATACCTATTATATATATTTATCAGGCAACGTAATGTGACATACTGATGAACTGATGATACCCATGTAAGAATATAACGCTGGCTATCAAGTGTATTCTTATAAGCCAAACTGCTGTCACTCATTATTGCAAGTGTTTTTTGAACAATGTCATGTGATGGGCAATAAAAATTGTTATTTTACAATAACAATGCCATTACTATCTTTCCGGATTGTTAAGTTTATTTTGCAGGCAGTTATTTAACGGTTACCATGCCGGTCTGCACGCAAAGAGAAATATTTGTATGGCCTACAATTATTTATCTCGTGAGTTTGGGTATAATTTGTGATTGTCTATGTGTGTCCATGACACCCGCGACACAGAATTTTCCCAGTGCGAGGCTATGAGTGTGTGCTTTAAACAAATTACCTTTTCCATCACCACCATCTTCGCCATCTTCACCATCTTGACATCCGCCTTTGCCACCCAGAAAAATTCAATGATATCACTCTCAACAAAATTGAGTTATACTAGAAACATTAATAGCAACTAAAAATCCAAGAGTATAAATTTGTTCTGACGAACAGCAATATTATAGGTTTTCCAATTCAGTAGCAGTAGAGCTCTATGTGAAGGAGTTCGTCCAGGGAAGTACTGCCAACTTACCTATTTCTGCCACCAAGCAGTAATGAGAGCATTACTGCGTTTCGATTTAGAAGGGTAAGAATGATGGTGAAATCACAGGCATATGGGACTTGTGAACTTATGTCTCCGGGTAACGGGCGCAGGGGCAGTGCCCATAATGTCTTTGTTATTTAAAACTCTGAATGGCACTGCAACTGTTATAGATAGGCGTGTCGCTTGTCACCAGGCGCACGACGTTACGGCACTTGGTGTTGTAGTGTGCAACTACGGACCCCTATCATCTTCATCTCTCTCTCAGTATAGCTTTCTAGGAAACACCCTTACTTTTCCTGATTCCTAGTTTCTTTTCTTGATTACCAGATTCGTCTTCGCTATCGTCAACACTGTCGTATCCGCCACCACCAACGCCGTGGCCACCGCTGTAACCGCCGCGGCCGCCGTGGCCACCGCCGTATCCGCCACCACCGCCGCCGTGGCCGCCACCGCCACCGCTGCCTCCGCCGCCACCGACGCCGCCGCCGCCTCCGCCTCCGCCTCCGCCACTACCTCCGCCACCACCTCCGCCGCGTCTACCCACTTGATCTGGACAAATTCGAAAATTTTTCTCTTTTCACGAGTATACTACCTACACTACAATTGCTATCAATTGATAGTTTTAAATATAGATAATGGAAAAAAGAATAGAGCAAATGAAATATGTATAAATTTATTCTGAAAAATCTTCAACATGCAACAGCGCAAACGTCCTATTGATAGTAGACACTGTAGACACGGGTATTGTTGTAATTATATCTTGTGAGTATTTTATTACTTGGATATAATGCACTATTCAAGAAATAATGACATTTCTAGCACCTTCAGTCATGATAAGTCTAACTTCCACGCATCATAAATTATTTTTTTTACATAATACATATTATCGACGTGTCATGTTATGACATTTTTGTTATAATGTAAAAAGATTTTGTGCGACCAGCATGTATTCCACATAATATTATAACGCAAACATTGAAGTTCGTTTAGAAATACTGCTTCTTCCTATTCAACTTTTATAAAAGTGTCTACTTAATGCATTTATTTAGTACCTATGTATTTTCGTTTTCTTATATCAAATAAGAAAGCGAAACTACGTCCTACTTATTTTTTTTCTTATTTATTTAAGACCTAGGTTCTTGTCAATGGATTCTGTGTATACAATTTATCAAAAACTAAATTTTAAGGTTGCGTGTAATATTTTTTTATAATATGGGTTATAAGGACTAAAATATTATAACAAATCGAGTTCTTAAGTTTTCGCGATTGTTACACATAGGAAATGAAACTATTTTTCCGGATATAAATTGCGTATATTTGTTTTTTCAAACAAACCGACGTTTCGGGCCCTTTACAGGTCCCATGGTCACGGTTGACTATAAAGTTGACTATCTATGGGACCTGTAAAGGGCCCGAAACGGCCTATATTATAACAATTTATTGGTTTTATAAGTATTGTCGTTTATGAGTAATATAAAAAATATGCATATTTTCTGAATCCCGTGGCCTTCGATTCCGTGGACTTCCCTGGACGAACTCTTTCATAAGGAGCTCTACTGCTACTGGGTGCAAAGTCGATTTAGCAACTTTGTGGGGCAACTTTTTATTGATCACGATGTTGTGTTTGCTCACATTTTCACTTAAAATGTTAAATAAATAATATTCATATTTTTATTTATTTTAAAACCCATTCATACAACTTCTTTTCCTATAAATGAACAACGTAACATAACAACGCAGAGGAAACATCAAAACAATATATTGGTTTCCAATCACATAGGTAGAGTTGAACTCAATTACTGCGCTATTAATTTATGCCGCCGAATTCAGAAAAGTCGGAAAAAACTGCCTTTGAAGCCATATTATCTTTGAAAAACAAGAATTTTGTACGATTTTTCATATAAATGTTTAGTTAATATGAATGATTTTGACAATTTTACATTACTACTTGCTTTCCGCTGAAAATGAATAAGAAAAATCAAAACAGAAAACAAAAATTGGAAATCAAGAAGATGAAGGAACGTGCTAGAAAAGCAAAGATGACAAAAGCATAAAAAGCGATCCAATTATATCTTGAAAGGTTTGAAGAAAAAGATATACAGAGGTATGCGAAGAAAAAGCGGAGGATAAGGTTTTGAAGTTGCATGAATTACCTCGTCATTATATAAAAAGTAATGAAAGATGTTAATCGCGCAAGTTCCAAAAAATTTGTTTATTGCTTTTGTAGCTACAGATTGCGTTCTAGATTTTTTCTTAAAAGATGTACCGAAGTACTTGATTTTTTAATGAAAAAAGGCTAAACAGCCAAACTGAACACTGAATTTAATTAATAGTCATAAAGTAAAATTTGTTCCGGTCAATTTATAAATAAATTTGATTTGAAAAAGCTTGATTTAACAGTTAATCATATTAGTAAACGTTTATGTAAATTTATTGAATGTTTTCGTTGCTTTTTCATAGTATTTTAAACAAAAATTATGCCTTTTGTTAAACCATCCTGATTTCGGTGGTAGCTGAATTCGGTGGATCAAATAATGTCATTAACTGTTAAGATTCTAGTAACCCAATTAACGGAATCTTATGTAAGTTTGAGCTATTTTTAGAGAGCGCCATCTAGGGGCAGTGTAGTAAGATCGTAGTTGTGTTAATAATTTCGATAAAAATAGTAATCAAGTCCATAATTAATGTAAAATTGCATAAATAGATAGAATATAGTATAACTAACCAGTGAAAATGTTATCTTTAAAAAAGAACAATTAAATACATCCAACAATACAGTTGAATGTGACAATCATATTTTGGCTTAAAAATTATATGTAAACGACAATAAAATCATATAAACACAAAGTTAAACTCGTGTCATAAATGTGACAACAAAAACAATATAAAGTGTAAAGATAAAAGTGCATAATCGTAGCTAATAGCGTAAATTCAGTTAAAAAATTCCGTTGTTGGCAGTGAACATTGAGTCGAGTGCAGCGGCCTTTGAATATTTGTGCTATATAGAGTGACCTACCCACCAGGCATGCGTTAATTTAAATTTTTACATACTACTAAAACATAAATGAAAAACATTCAAGTTTGCAAAAAAATACTTAGATACTTTTTTTTTACTTTTATTTACTCATTTTTAGGGGTTGTTTTGAAAAACCCTGAAACACGTGTTTATTTATTTTGTATTTATAGTATCCAAACCAAGTTTGAAGCAAATTGCACCACGCGTCAATTACTATACGAACTTGAATACATCCATTTCGCCCCTATTTAGGAGTAGTTTTAAAAAAAGGTCATAATATAATTTTTATTGTACAACATTTATGCAAAATTTCATCTTTGTTATGTAAAAGAATTCATATTTTCGTACAAACATATTTACCCTTTTTCACCCCTCTTATGCATACACTAAATACAAGTAACATACTCTCAAGTTTTCATATTTCCAGGCCTTAATGATTTTACCGTGTATTAGTAGTAGTAGTATATTGTGTTAAAAAATAAATAACAAATCTAACATTTTGTCACCTTTTCACTCGTAAAGCCGCAAGTACCTGCAGATGGATTATTTTTTTCTTGATAGAGAATGATTGGGCCTATATTGTAAATAAACCACACACATTACATTTTCCTACGTTACAAAAAAATAAAATGTATATTTCTCGATAGAAAAAATAATAATATTTTTTTTTCTCTGAAACAATCAGCTTTTTAAGAAATTACACAAGAATAAAAGTTATGAGGAATGTTATTATTTATCATGTGAAAAAAATCTTCTCTTTTTGTATGGAGAATTTTTTTTATTTTTTTATCGCAAAATATATATTTCTTTAAATAAATTATTTAAATATCTTAGTTAATCATTATATCTAATGTTTGTTAAACTGAAGGGTTAATACACACAATGTAATTATGACCTTTAATGTTATAACACTTATTGATTATATTCAATGAGTGATCATATCCTTTGAAATTGTATCAAATGCTGTTATACAAAGCGAAAATAGATCATTTGTTGCTTATATATCGTTCATTACCCAGCACTTCCGAATTCTACGCACAGAGACTGTATGTACCTTCCAGTGTAAGATTGAATATAATGTGAAACCTAAGAATTTGCATGTATTGCACAGTGGCACTGCAGAAGTGAGTTAACTGAGTTGACCATGCTATTGAATTTGTTACAGAGAACAAAACAAGGTTCAACTTTGAAGTATTAAGGAGAACAACCCATATTGTGTGTTTGTACAGTCAAGAGCACATCAAGCTTGACACTTTGTACTTTGACCCGTTCTTATCGTAAGCGGCATAGAGTTGGATTTAAGTGTTAAGTGTCAAGCGTGACGTGCTTTTGACCCTGTACGTGTACGTTAGTTTTTCGTCCAACTCCTTATAGCTTATAACACTCCCAACGGTTGTGTCCTGTCGTCTGCAAATAAAACTACTAAGCCCCCTGATATAAAGTAAGGCAAATCGTCGATAAATGCTAGGAATAGCTACTTAGGGAAGATTTTCCTTTTTTTTTCTTTTTTTTTTCTCAAACGAACGTTTCTCTAAGGAAGGTTTTATTTAAAGGACGGTCTTCCTTTAGAGAAAAGTTATTAAAATCTTTTTTAACAAACAGATGACAAACAATTGAAATTGAATTGTTTGTCATCTGTTTGTTAAAAAAGATTTTAATAATGATTATTAATATAAAGAAAAATTCTTTTGATCGTGCCTGACGCTCTCCCAGCTGAGCTACGGAACATTGACCTTACAAATTGTACTACGTGCGTATCTGCCATCTTTGTCATTGATTTTTAACGACTTTTCGCCATAGCGCCATCTGTGAGAAATCTATGAAATTTTTCTTCAGTCAGGCAGGCCTTTACAGCTACCAGCGGTTAACTAGAAATATCGCTTTCATATTGTATTAAGTTCATTACGATTACTCTATTTGTTAAATACTTGTATTTTTTCAATTTTAAAATGGCTACACGTTTTCAGAATATAGCGGTTCAGGTTGTCCCGTAGGCGGATTCGGCGGAGTTGGAGGTTACGGCAGTGGAGGGTACTCGGGTGCCAGTGCCAGTGCCAATTCCGGTTCCTTTGGCGGCGGTGGTTATGGAGATTATAAATTCTTAGTTTAGCGACTGCAAATGTGAATACCATCGAGCACATTGGATGGTGAATACGTTTATATTGTACATTTCTTGACACATAATCAAGTCAACTTTATATTTTCTTTTCGCCTATAAGATACTCGTAAATTAAGCACTAATTTTGTTCTTAACTTGTTTCCGACGATACTGAAGAAAGAAAATCCAAATTAAATGCAAAAAAAATCAATGCCCAATGTTCTATATTGCTACCTATGCTCTGAAGTTGTTCTTTTTTTATACCAAGTAACTGAACCAATATTTCGTAACTCTAATCGACTAGTTACACGAGGAGAAGGTGTTCCAGCGGCCCAGTTACCACGCCTTCATATATATTACTGGCGAATCTGAATTCTATTTAATCGGTAACAATATTTAAATTCCTCTGAATAATACAACAGCCGCGCGACTCCGCTCGGCGACCGCGCGGCGGCCGCTCGAATTGAGCGCGATCAAATTCGTGTCGAATAAATAGGGGTCGTGCAGCGTGCCGGCGATCTTTAGCAGCGACTGCGGTCCCACCAACTCGCTGTGCGTTTGCGTTGCCATTGGTCGTGAGACTTGCAGCAATCAGTCGTCGCAAGTCGCTTGCGACTGCTAGATGATCAATTAATGTTCCTATTATTATTAGATTATTACATAAGTAATTAAAATTATAATAATGGACCCAGATAGGATAATTGATGCTGTTCATAATCGCCGCAGAATATTAATTGCGTGAATATTAAATCTCCTTCTTCTTATCCTTCCTATGGTATAGACCCGTATAAAACGGAATTTTCCAACAAAAAAATTTTCATAATAGTATGGTTATAGATACATTTTTCCTGTAGGTACGATAATTATTTAAAAAATCAGTAAGCTGTCGGTCGGTCGCCGGTAGTGTTACGTCGCCAGTCGCCCTTTCGTCGTTAGAAGTCGTTGCGAGTCGACGCAACGGCAATCGCGACATATCGCCGGCACGCTGCACGAGTCCTTAGGGTTCTATATAACATTACAAATATTAGTTATGTTACAGTTAGTTTCTGTTTACATTACATCATACACGTTATATAGTGTACGTTACTTGCAGAAAATAAGAAATGAAACATTTTTTAATATAATGCACTGTATATTTTTTTAAGGTTTCTGGGACAATCCATTATTTGTAAAATTTAACCTACTTACTTTTAAATACTACCTACCTACAGGTAACAAAACACGTTTTTATTCGGATTCGTAAGCAACTGCTTTAAGTTAACCGTTTTACTGACGTCGAATTCTACTTAATCTACTGAGAAATTGTAATTTAGATCATAGTATATTTTGTATCGAAGAACTAAAACGAGCCAATGTATACCCGAAGTGATTAGACACCCGAGCTTCAGCGAAGGTGTCTATTACTTCGAGGGTTTTATTGGGGTTTTAGTCCTTAGGTGAAAACTTTACTTTTCACTTTGATTGCGACAAAAAATAGTCGAAAACGTGTTTATGTGTAATGTTTTACTTAAAGCTAAATGTTGCAATTGGAATTATTTTTACTATAAATATTCCACAATGTTGATGGTTTATGGTATATGATAGGTATATATGGTATGTTTTTTCGACATCTCGTCAAAACATGCTAAAAAAACTTTTTCTGAAGTAATCTGTTTTTTATTAATAAATTTTGTTTATTTCAATCTTTTACGTTCCACAACAAAATCACGATGCAAAATTTTAGCGGTATTTTTTTTGAAACCAGACATATGTAGATACAATAAACGCACTAACGCCGGAAAATAATATGGCACCGCCATCTATGCGGAAAAGGCACGGAAGTAAAACCGAGAGTACTACTGGCTGGCTATATATATGTATATGTATATATATATAATATAAATATCCGATGAAACCTATGAAAGTTGGATTGGAGGAACAAAAAACAAATTACTTCAGAAAAAGTTTTTAGCATGTTTTGATGAGTTGTCGAAAAAATATCAACCATCGACGTCGTGGAATATTTATATCTATGAAGGACCGAATAATTTTGTTGCACCTAGAGCGGAAACGATTGAATTTTTTTCTCGCAATCGAAGTGAAAAGTAAAGTTTTCACGTCGAGACTAAAAGCCAATATAAACCCTCTTACTAATAGACAATCACGCCACGCTAAAGCTCGGGTGTCTAATCATCTCGGGTATTTTGGCTCGTTTTAGTTCCTCCAAAAAAATGTACGACTTAATTAATTCAGACCATATTTTCCCAACACCAAAATAATATTTAAATAAATTATTATACCTATTTAAACTAAATTCAAAACTACTGCGATTTTGCGTAACCGTTGTAATAGAAGAGTCAAAATGTTATTATACCACATATATTGTGTAATTTATATTATTATAATAAATTACTGAAGAATCTATAGAGTGACCTGCCTCCTTACATACCTACTTATACATGTTCTCAAACATAGAATACGACAGTCCCTGAAAAAACATTTTGCTTGACAATCCCGCAGCGAAGTAAAACTGGCCGACGCCAGTTTGGCCACACAGAGGCGGCCGCGGAAGAGTTTCGGGCGCGGGAATACATTACAAATATTCCCGCTCCCTGAAAGCTCCCGCGGCCTCCTCTGTGTAGCCAGAGCATTAAACTACACATTATAAGCAGATACAAAACGAGTTTCTACACAACATTAGCTTTCATATTTTCGCTGAAGGCTGATGACGCTGCTACAGCAGATGCGGTTGATTTGGCGAAGGAGCGTCCTCGTCCATCACGGTTGTACGCCAGCTCGCGACTGCCGCTGTTGCCGTAGCCACTGCAATGGTTAGCAAAGAAAATATTTGAATTTCGTTTATGAATATGGTCCAACTTGTTACATGTACCTTGGGCTGCTTACAGACTGTACTGCACGTTTGCAGTTAATGCGTGATGTCGTAATCAACTTCACGCAGTTGAGGTCTCGGATAACTCGGACTTCACGCATTAACTGCAAGCAGTCGTAACGGACTTCATGCAACCGAGATCAACTACATGCAGCCATTGCGTGATGTTGATTACGATTTCACGCATTAACTGCAAACATGCAGTCAATCTGTTAGCAGCCTAAGTATAACGGATATTTTACTGCTTTTGAAATATCAATAAATATTAAGTTTAAGTATAGTAAAATAAGACCAAGTATGGTAACTCCACAGAAACGTAGCAGCACGGCTTGTAAGTGTGCACGCTCGCCTCATGCTGTGTATGGACGCACATATTCGTATAATCTCAAAGGTCATTTGCGTTGCAAAGCGCGGATCCTCTCACGCATCATTCAAAGAATTGAAGCGTTCGTGCGGTGTTTAAAAAATGACATCAAATAGTAGACGTGGTTATTGTTGTATTTATGGTTGTTTGAACAAGAATGCCTACCTACTTTATTTGACGACTTCGGTGGCCCAGCGGTTCGCACTGTGGGCGTTATATGAGAAGCTCCCGAAACGAACTTTCTGAGTGTTCTGGATAAAACCCCGGATTAATTTCGTTGCTCTGGTACTCATAGTACATGGAATTCCTTAGTCTGAGATCATGTAATTAATGTGGTTGTCTGGCACATTTAATATGTTATTACGTTTTTCTTTTCTCTTTATTTCAATATAGCACGAAAACATTGTGATGGATACCTTTTTTTTTTTTCAAATTATATTTAGAGACATTCGCGGTAACTGCCTGAGCGCAGTACGTTAGTGTGCGCAGGAGTTATATCTCAGGAACGGAGGAAGAGGAGTAGGTGATTTGTTTGGGTCCAAACAAGGCGCCTGAGTGACTAAAAAAGAAAAATCGCATGTTCTAAGTTTTCGTTTTTATTTAAATTTAGAGCCAAATAAATGCTTTATTAGAAGGTCACACCTTTATGTTCCTATCTCTTATATTTTATGCGCAGTAAACCCTAAATAAGAGACGTACACCCACTTTACACGAATGACACTACAACCTGTACGTACAACTAAAATAATGTGACAAACCTATGCTCCGAGTGAAATATAGGCATTGATACGTTGAAGAGACGGTCGTTACCCTACTTGGTCTACAATGGTTTAAATCTACCTTTACCCATACTTTACATTAAAACAGTTCCCTTGAAACTCATATTACAAAAAATCTCCAAGGTAAGAAATTGACCGTAACATAACACCGATTCATATGACGACTCACCCCCTGCCAGAATACCCACTGCCGCTGCTGCCACCATTACTGCATCCGATCTCATCACTGTTTACGCTCGCGTCGCGCTCGTCGCTGCCGCGCCCATACCCGCTGTCGCCGTACCCGCTGTTGTAGCCTCTCTTCACCCTTAAATCTACACACAAACCCGTAACTATGTAGGCACCTTTTTTAAGATTACTAGGATTACTTTTTGTTTTTTAGGAGTTTTTAGGTATCTTTAGGTGAAAATCAGATACTTTGAAACACGAAGAATATATCACGAATTTTAAGAATCTCAGTTTAATCCAAATATTGCGTAGTTTCAGGATATTGTTAATGATACCTCAAAGAACTAAGTATATTACTAACGTCCTAAACAACATTTGTTTCATGACTTGTAATAGGTAATTATTGTAATTGTAACAAAAATATAATTTGTTACAATTATTAATACACAGATCGAAACACTTAGAAAAAATTGAAAATATTTTATCACCCAGTTAGGTAACTTTACAGCTACCAACCCTGCCTAGGTTCATGGATTTCTCATAGAAAAAGTAGTTGAAAACCAAATACAAAGATCCGACAAACAAACACATAGAGAAATTCGTAAGGTCCGCAGGTTCGTTATGTGGTTTAGTTGGCATAGCGTCTGATACGATTTGCTAGAAAACGGCGTCGGTTCGAATCTGGCCGGATCTAAGGAATTTTTCCTAAGTGTTCGGATCTTTGTATCAATAATTACAACAAGCTAGTGGAGTAATAATAAAAATATTGATTATCAATTCAATACAAATTTAAAAATAAAATTATTAAATGGTCTGTGATTAAAATAGACCGCTCTAAACGGTGATAAATTTGTACGGTTATGAAAGAAAGCGCCCACCATCAAAATTATTTCTTGTAAACAACTAAAACGCTTATTAACACTACCCGATTTCAAGGGACCCTTGACTTTAACTTAGGGACATACATTAAACAAGGAAGGTACCTTTAAGACTAAGGTACCTTCGGTGTTATACATTTTATGAAAAGGCACTCGCCAGTACACGTTGCAGTGTCTCCAGCGACTATTACTGAAGACCGTAGAAAACAGCAAATTGCTGGTGCTTTTATCTGTTCTTTGACATAGTTTTTATTACGGATTGTGTTGAAGAACAAGTCTTTTTCATTTATTTATTTTATTTATAAACATCAACCCACCATAAATGATCACACTATAATTTGAATTATTTGAACTCTGAAACAACGTACCGAATCGAACCCGATACCTCTGCGTGGCAGTCTAGCATAGTAACCGTATTATGCTGAATAAATTTCTTTTCTTTCTTTCTAACTATTTTACCTACGAAACAGTGATTTTAATGACTTACCTGGAAAAGCCATGACATTAACAGC